CCTCAAGGTTGGGGGTTGGAACATGTGGCGACTTGTTCCGTAGAAACGGTAATGCATTGGCATTTCCCGCCAAACACCGCTGCCTTGCGGTTAGGTTTTTGAGCCAAAGGCTTTGGTTGAGGATCTTAATCGCCCTCCTGTCTAGATGTGGGCGCCCTGGCAGTATCCCAGTCCACGTACAACCATGAACTGCACATACACAAATAAACTCATGCCACATCGGCCGTCGCGTGGTGACATCAGCCGGGTCGCCTTAATTGCTGCATACAGCAGGGCGGGTAAGCGAAAACATGCTACTGCTGACGCCTCCCTTCTTACACTTTCACGTTTTCCTTCTTTCACCCTCCCCCACCCAAATTCGAATACTTTCTCCGCTGGTCCCAGCTCTAGGACTGACCGTGTTGCTCGCCCTGCATCACACTCAGCTGCAGCTTCCGCAAGTCCGAGTTCAGTTACAATCCTAAACACTGCGAAGTCTTTTCAAACCCCGAAAGCCTGTCTATTTAGCCACCTTTAATGTTCTCACACTGAAGCAAGCAGATCAACAGGTGGCTCTTGCGCGTACGCTGGATTCCCTCTGTATTGATGTATGTTGTCTGTCAGAAACAAGGACGCAGGACTCAAGTACTGTGATCGAACTGACTGCCCCCTCGCTCTCCTCCAGGTTCCGGCTGCGCTCCTCTGGTGATACAGAGGCCGCTGCAACTGGATATGCTGGGGTGGGGATTGTATTGAGCGAACGAGCGGAAGCGTCTCTGCTTGATTGGATACCCGTAAACAGTCGCCTCTGTGCGGTTCGTTTGGCAACATCGGTGAGAGAATCTAGAGGAAGTGAGGTTCATCGCACCTTGTTTATTGTTTCTGCTTACGCCCCAACTGACTGCAGCTCTGAATCTGCCAAGGACAGTTTCTATGACGCTCTAGGTGCCCTTCTACAACAGGCCAGAAGCTCAGATATCGTTGTGGTTGCTGGTGATATGAACGCCCAGGTAGGTAGACTAAGCGCTGCTGAGGCCCGATTGGGTGGTCGTCTTGGTTTGGACACTAGACGCACGGACAACGGAGACCGCTTACTTCAGACGTGTGCCGATCACAGGCTGTTCCTTTGCAGTACGAATTTCCGGAACAGCGGAAATCGCTCGACAACGTG